GAGTATAGCATGCAACTCAGTTTTGTCACATACAAACCACCCTCTGGATCCATTCAGCCCACTAATTCATCATGAAGAAGAGCAACAGAAGCTACTCTGACATTCATCAACTTAATTAAAATGTTGATCTTTGTATCTCTTCAGGAATTTCAGGAAACAAATCTAAAATTTACTTCACTTAGAAGAGGCACGCCCCCTGCCCATACCTCACATTGGCTATTAGTCTATTATTGTGGTGGTAATATGAATTGACTTCCATCTTCTTATTATTAGCTTTTGACTTTCAGTGGACTTTACTAATAAAGCATATCTCCATTCTATTAAGATGTAATGCATATTGTCTATAGGATGATATAATAAATCATACTTTTGTACAGCAGTACAGAGAATCTGGGAACATTTAAAAGCTGGAAAGGGGCTTCAGAATTGCTGATAATGAGATGGCTGAGCTTTGTTTGAGGTTTAGTTTTATGGGTTCCAAAAGTGGAAATGAAGCTATATGCCTGAATCTCTAACTAGTGATTATACAATAACCCCAACCAGCCTTTCCAGGGGTGAGGATGTAAGGAATATTAAGAACAGGGATTATGGCTTAAAAGCCTATTTGGCTACAAACGGGAAATAAGCCCTTGAGGGACAAGGCTAGTGTCCCATTAATACTTTCTTCATATTTGAGCAGTGTCCAGCAGGACAATGGACATACTCACTTGGACAAACCTAGTATATTCAATTGCAGGGAAGCACTTATGGGAGAGGACGTAGAAGCAGATAGGAAAAATGTATTTCCCTCTTCTTTTGTTTTCAGGAACCTGAGCTCCTGGTCCTCTGGTGGACAAAATGGGCTGAAACCAACTGAAGTCCCATTCTGGAGCAAATGGGGAACACAGATATGAACAACATGCTAGCTGTTTCTGGCAAGAAGTGCTGTGCTAAATGACATAAAGAAACTCACACGTGCCTATTCTAGTTTTTATATAACAACATCCTAAAGAAAAGGAAAACAATCAGTTTATCACTATCTTGTTAATGCCTTCATTTAGAAGTCCTGGAATATTTTGTAGATTTAAATGGAGAAATTTGGGCTTTTACCTCTCCCCCTCCCCAGCCCATAAGCAGTGTTCTAAAAAAACCCCTGCCAAAACACTTGAGTCCAAACTGAGATTGTGTTGGATTTTTGCAAGTACAAGAAATACAGATTTACCTATACAAGGCAATTTCAGGAAAAGATTTAAAACCTGTAGATTAGTGTTGAAACAGGGCAACACATTTTCTTTGATGTTTTTGGTGACATACAAAATATCCCACTCACCATATTCCTGGAGCACCACACATTATGGCAAGATATAACATAAGATGGTGTATTGCTACATTGGCAGACATTATATCACATCTGTTATAGAATGCCAGAATAAGTGGTCTGGCAGCATGCCATACTCAATTAAATAGCTTGGAAAATCTGCCATTTAAAAAAAAAAAAATTGCATCCTTTACCCCCTTACACATTTACAACATATGTACTGTCATGGCTCTAGAATTAGTATTAAGAAAGTATTTCAATACATCATCCTAAAGCTTCTGAATAGCAAAAATGTCAATTATGTATGTCCAGGTACAGAACCACTCACCCAAGCAGAAGACAGTGAATCTTAGTTCATAGGGGAAATCAAGTTTATGCAATGAGAAAACTGCAGAACACATTCCATTTTTCTAAGAGGGAAGAGGAAACTGAGTTTCTTAAATGATGAACATACAATTTTGTTTGTATATTATACAAAGTCTCATGTATTTTTGGCAAGTTAAACAACCAACATCACTATCTCCATTCTAGCATTAACAGCACCTGCAGCTAAAATTTTCCATCATGTTCACATTTGATTTTTTTTTTTAGTGGAATAATATTCAGAACTTTAAATTATAAAATCATAATATTTAAACTGACACCTATGTATGTGATTTAACCAACCTTCTTCTTCTTGGTCAATTTCAATAGAAAGAAAAATCAATTTTTCAAAAGAGAGATGGAGAGATCAATAGGCTAATTTCATATACTAAAACAGTAGACACAATACCTGCATATGAACTGTTGTTGAAAGTCCCCCAACATTTCTACTCATCTTTAAGTAGACATGTTTCATGCTCTGTGCACACAAATTAACAATGGTAAAGTCCTTTAATATTATCAAACCTTAGCTATAAATGTAAACATGTTCAATATTCAAACTGAGCTAGATTGCAAGAGAATTAAAACCATAGTAAACCTATACCCAAGACATACATCTGGAATCATTCTGAGAGTTCAGTTAACATCTTTTTGGTTTGCTTTTTCATTAACATTTTTTCTGGAGTACAACAGTACTCTCTAATATTTTTGGTTTCAGCTGAGAAAGGGAGCTAGCCAGAGGCAGGCTTATCACTAGGATCAAACCCAGCTGCTTAATAAATCTTAAGTACTACATGTTGACTGACAGATTTCCCAGTCCCAAGTTTTCCAAGCTAATATAACTTTGGAGAAGTTCCTGTAATTTGGGTGTGATTTAAACTGAACATTCAAAATGAATTTACTCTATCTCCAGGAAAACAGCACAATGCTTCAGGGCCCAGATTCCAGAGAAAAATTATGAGTTTATAATCAAGCAAAGAACATGAAAGCCTTGCTAATGAGGCTTAAGATGATCCATTGCCATTTGCTAAACATGAAAAAAAAAAGTATGACAAGTGTGGTTTAAAAAGAGGTATTTAATGCATGCAGTTTTCTCTTATTCTTTCCCATTTGTAATGGTATGGGCCAACATAAAGCTACTTCCAGATACACAGGCTGAAAACTGTTGGGGAAAATGCAACAACTAAAAACCCATATCCTCTCAAAACCTGAATATTCACAAGAAGAGAAGCACTAGTTTATACAAAATGCAATAGAAAAAAAAATCTCAATTTACAAATGAGATGAATGCCTTCCCAAGTGCCCTTTGTCAAAGGATTCATCAGAGTTACTCGTGTGCTGCAGACCGCTAGGAAAGTGCCTTTTTTAAGAGGGAAAAGGGAAGAGGAAATAAAAGGCATTCTGCTCTTCCAGACATCACTCCTTCCATAACTTAATAAAGTTCAAGCCCATCATTACCCTCTCTACCAAAAGACAATGCCTTCCAATGGCTTCAATGCAGGAAAGATATTGAAAATATAAAGCCCAATGGGGTATGATTGAAAGGACATGAAAGGAGAATCAGTTGCAAGAAATGTGGCTCACAAAAGAATAGCTGCTTCCAGAGTTCAGAGCTTGCGCCTCTCCATTTATTCAGTTCAACTGCAATCTGCCAGCTCTGTCGGAAGAGGCACTTCTGCCCTCCTGTCTTGTTAGGAAAGCAGATGAACAGACCCAGGAAAAAGTGAGATGCGTTGCCACGTATTTGGGAAGCAACAGTTAGCCTGTTGCCCTTACCTGAGGGTTCCTGCTGTAAATGAAACAATCTCACTTTGACTATAAGTAGCTTTACTCACATTTCCAATTATTCCTTCTTGATAGAAAAAAAAACTGCTGCAAGCAATACTGTATTACACTGAGAAGAGGTCCAGAACAACTCTAATGCTGCTAAATAATACTACTTTTCCTGTTTAGCATCTCCTGGCCTCCTCTTATCTTTCTCGCTTCTTGCCACCTCTGCTTTCTGATGCCCACTACAGCAACTGCGGGAACTGATATTTCATCTCCTCATGCCCTGTGGAAGACAAGCCATAGTTCCACAACACTATAGTTATCAAATATAAGTATATATTCAATAAATATACATATACACATGGTATGAGTTGTGCTGGTCCTATTCTCCCCACCAGCAGCACCACCTCCTGCACTTTCTACTCAACTCCAACAGCAGAGAAAGCCTTTTTCTATAGTCTCTCAAAATCTCCTTTTGCAAGAGAAACAAAAGGAGGACATGGCAGTTGAGAAATCTCCCTTCCACATTTAATTCATCCAAAGAACAGTGGAGTTTATGGAGCTGCCAGCCTTCTTTTCTAGTCGTTCAGCCTTTTTGTTCATCCAGATTGCAAAGGCTTGTTCTGCTGGGGTGTGTCAGAAAAATACTTCAGTGATGTTACATTAATTTTTTTGTTGTCTGTATTTCATATAAAAAATTGTTTAAGAGAGCTTGTGCATAAATCAATCCACATCCAAAGGTTTATGATTTCAAAATTAACAGTGACTTTTCATGAGTAGAGAAAAATCAGACAGATTCCCCACCCCTGGGATCCCATCTTTTAGTTTTCTCAAGACTTTGGGTAAGAGTTTCCTGTTCTCACCTGTCCTAGATTCTGTAATTTCAGCCCATCCTTCAGAAATGGCCTTGCTGGACTACCATGACTGAACTGCCAAGCAGATCTGCACACCTCCCTTTTCCACAATATATATATACCAGGATGTAAGTATTTATGCAACTTCAATTTTTACCCATTCCCTAAAGAGTCTTTATAAAAGAACTAAATGTATTTCATTAAATTGATTCCACATTAGTTGTATCTCACAATTTTTTAAAAGTACAAATGTAAAAAGAACTACATCTTTGACACACCATTCTTTGCTCTTTACCTTACATGATATTTTTCATATCAATACTAACCATCACTGTTTGCTGCTAAGAAAACCCCAATTCTGTATTGGGGTATTGCCCCTACCCATGTGCTGACCTCACCTGATCCATGCCCTGTCTTTCCAACTGTGAAAACACAAGCTAAGCTAGTAAGCTCTGACATGTGATGGTCAGGAATGGAAATGTGAGTAGGGAAATGAAAAGAGATAATTAGGGGTTCAGGTGTGGGGAAAGAAAGAGGTGGCACTTCTCATCAGCTCTGCCTAAGCAGAACTCCAATATTCCACTTTTTTAAAAAAAAAAAAGGAAAGAAACAGTAGCAGAAGAGTAGCAAATGGGAGCTAGGTCTAAACCCACCACTTGCCCCTCCCATGCTTTGCATTTCCTGCACCATCCCCTCCCATGCTTTTTTCCCATCACTCAGACATCAGATTCAATACTAGAAAGTTTCTCATAAACATGCCCATTGCTAGAGCCATTGAAAGCCCTGGGGTTTTTGTTGTTAGGCACACAGGGGTTGGACTGGTTCCCTATACAGATGTCCTTCTGGAAACGGGCTGGCACAGCTCCGTGAAGAGCTGAGACCACTGGCTTGTTGGTGGTGACAATGGCTCGGAAGTCTGGCCTGGCCTTGGGCCCCCCTGCCACCACAGGCTGCCTGAAGAAATAGGATTTGCTGCCATGGAGCAAGCACTGGTCATCCCCAAAAGTGGGGATGAAAGGGTTTTGAGTGACCCGGTCGGGGTAGAGCGACTTGCTTAGCATATAACCACCACTAATGCCAGGATTGTTGTGGTGGTGGTGGCTGGTGGCAGGCAGTGAGGACTTGTTGTTGGCAAAAGTGGACTCGCTCGCTGGCATTTCAAACATATGAGCATAAGGGCTTCCCTCCAAAAAGCGGCCTTTGTCCTTTAAGCTCACACTGCGTGGGGCCAGGGCTGCTTCTTCCTTCTGCAGATCCACAAACGTGTCATAGGAGTGTTGCCGGCGGAGCTTGTTGCGATTCTTTTTCTGCACCTTGGAGGCAGAGTTGGAAGGGCTCTGAGGATACTTGGTGGTAGAGGTGCTGGTTGCCACTGGCACAGGAGCAGATGGCTGATCCAGCTCTTGAAGGGAGTTGTCCTCACTGATATCATAGAGGTTGCCTGCCTTCTTGCAGGCTTCACACCGGATGCATGGCTGACGGGTGGAGTTCTGTCCCACCACAGCTGGGGTGTAGTTATGCAGCTTAGATGGGCAACTGCGGCAATAATTAGACCCTGGCCGTTCCTCCCAATCAAGATTGGTAAGGTTTTTCTCCCATGGCACTGGTACCCCACTCACAACACTGTGCTTGTGCTCATTGTTTACTCCAAATTCCCCTGACCCATGTTTGTGGTGGGTCCTATTTGTACATGTCCCTGTTCCCCCTAGAGTGTCACGCTTAAAGTCATCTCCCCGTTCTTTATAGATATCTGTCAGATCTACATGTTCCCAATGTGGTGAGTTTTCCTTAGCCCGGAATTGGTCCAAATAGAAATCCCTTAGCCCTTCCTTGTCTCTAAAATAGCGCTTGTGATCAGGGGAACGGGGACGCCGTCGATAGGCCAGTTCAATCTCATCAAACTCTCTCCGTGACTTAGCTGAGGCTGGGCGTTTCTTTAAACTATCTTTATATTGCTGTTTTCTCCGCTTTGCAGCATTGCCTTCAATGTTGCCATATGTCACTGTATGAGTGGATATGTCTGAAACATCTGAACGGATTAAATCATCATGTGCCCCTCCTCCACTGTATCGGTCACTCTTGAATGACAGCTTGCCATAAAGGTCACCTAACTGGCCATGCTTGGCTGGTGGTAAACCAATATCTAGTGGCTTTTTACTGAGGGATCGAGACTGGGTAGAGAAGGGTGGATTATCACAGTCATATAGTCCATCAATAGAGCTAGCACTACCTATGCTATGGGGGCGATGATGATGATGATAATGGTCTTGATAAACATTACTTTCTTTTAGTTGTAAATTGCCGAAAGTCCTTTCTACCTCACTAATATAATCGCTGAAAAGATTCTCCTCACAGGGGGGATTATTATAAGACTTGCAATCAGAGTGGGTGAAGCTACGGCGATGTTCAGAGATGTCGTAAACTGATGATTCACGGCGGATGAAATCCAGGGCACTTTGTGGTGAACCATTGACACCTGAAAGGTTGGCCATGTTCTTTGCTGTTCGGAGCAGACGCAAAATATTAGAATGGGTATTGTTCATGGTGGCAGTGGGAGAATTCATAGAAGAATGGCGGTCTTCAATAGCCACTCCATGGATGCAGCTGTAAATACCCTGTAATGGAAAAAAAGAAAAGAGGGGTTAATGGAGAGGCTTAGCAGAGAAGCTGAGGAGTTGGAAGTTGAAAAAAAAAAGTCTGTTGGTAAATAGAATCTTATCTTTCACAGTTTCTTACTATATCACTTTCAAATTGGGCAACATACTTCCTTTGGGGTTGTTCTCATTCTGCCTTCAGAAAGAAGGACAACTTGCATTTGTATACATTGATGCAGATCATTAATTACCACTACTAGTCTTTCACTTTTTATCCCTACTTTCACTTTTAGTTCCTTTCGATTTGGGGCTCTATTTCTTTATTTACAATATTTGCTAAAGAGCACCAATCAAAATTACCCTGGTTAATGTACAACAATAAACACAGATAATAAAAGAACAAGACAATGACAATAAAAATCATCAACACTTAATCAGTACAAGATCAGAAGGCCAATCATGATCAGTCTATAAACCAAAAGTTCGCTGAAATAAAATGGTTTTTAAAGACCTTCCAAAACATAGGAAGGGCTGGACCAGATTGAGGGACAGGGACAGCATATTCAGTGAAGAGAGGATCACTACCCAAAAGGCTACCTTGTAACCCATGCTTGTGTTATTCACCTGGAGCGGGGAACTCTTAGCAGGCCCTCTCTCAATATTTGGACTGGATGGGCAGAATCAAGTTTGGAAAGGGAGTCTCTGATGTATCCCTGTACCACAGCATACTGTGTAAGGCTTGATAGATTATTGAATCCAAAAGCCAACTGACCTTAAGATAAGTGCAATTCTAAAAAAAAAAAATCATGTTGACTTGACTAATAGTCAAATGTTGTACTTTGCACCAGCTGTAGCTTACAAGTTAACTTCAAAGATAGCTCCACTTTCAGGGCATTGCAGTGGACAAATTGTGAAATGATCAGGATTTGAGCCATTGTCATCAAGGCTTCTTCCAGGAAGGGGCATACATCAGTATGTTGATGACACTCAGTTATATATCTCCACCCCTGCTTAACTAAGCAATGCTGTTGATGTCCCAGTGCCTGGGGACTGTGGGGATCTGAACTGGGAACAACAGGCTTCAGCTGAAAGTTTTGGAGCCTTCTGGATCTGGGACTTTACTATCTTTGGTACTGGATGGGGTGGCACAATCTGGAGGTCCTTCTGTTCTCACAGCTCTTGCTCGAGGAACAGGTGGCAGTCATGGCTAGGAGGGCCTTTGCAGAGCTTTGTGTTGTGTGAAAGTTATGCCCCTACCTGGACCATGAGGCTTTACTCCCAGTTACTCATGCTCTGATCACTCTAAGATGGATTACTGTAACACACTCTACATGGGGCTGCCCTTGAAGAGCATCCAGAAGCTTCAGCTGGTGCAGAGTGCAGCTGCATGGACAGTTATGTGCACCCCTAGGATGATGCACATTACACCTCTGTTCCATGAGCTGCATTGGCTGCCAGTTTGCTTCCAGGTGAAATTCAAGGTGCTGGTTTTGACCTTTACAGTCCTTCATGGCATAGGACCAGGTTATCTGAGGGACTGCCTCTTCCTGATTACATCTACCTGTCCCATCAGGTCGAGCAGGAGGAGTATGCTGTGGGTCCCATCTCATAAGGGACCCAGACTCCATCTGGCAGGACCCAGACACTATGCCTTTTCTGCTGTGGTCCCCGCCCTCTGGAACATCATTGCCCCTGAGGTGAGATTAGCCCCATCCCTGCTAGCCTTCTGGAAAACACTTAAAATGTAGTTCTTCCATCAACCTTGGGGATCCTATGGTGAGCCTGCAAATTGGCTGTATGATGGGAAGTGACTGTTCTCCCCAAACCATAGGTTTTTATGTTTTTAAAAATTTTTATTCATGTTTGAGTGTTTTATGGTTTTTTAGTTGTCATTATGTTTGTACACTACCCAGAGTCATGTTTCATGAGATAGGCGGCTATATACATTTGCTAAATAAAAAAATAAATAAATAAATACTTGGCACACCAGCCAAAGGTCTCCCGGGCCACAACTTCTACCTGCTGCTATTGTTGTTGTTGTTGTTTAGTCGTTAAGTCGTGTCCGACTCTTCGTGACCCCATGA